ACTAAAATAAAAAAGGCAAAATCATTTACAAAAACATTCATAAGATTTTTATAAAGTGTGCTAAGTTTTTTTTTTATACATTTTTTTTTCTGCCTCTCACCACTAGGGAGTGCTGCAGCACCCCCAGCACCCCTATTTCCTGCGGCCATGCTTCTGTTATATGAATATTTTCTTTTCCCTAGAATTTTATATTTGTGAACCCGGCGTAGGAGCTGTTGCTCGTCCACATTTTTCCGTCTACGTAGGTGTTCATGTTCTTAGTTGCTCGGTGTGTAAATTCTATCTTCCATGCCACTTTAGCTTTCACGCCATTCCAACGTATTTTGGCTGCACGGGTCTTGAAGACGCATCAAGCACAAATCAAGCTTTAGGCTACTTTCACACTACGTGCAAATATGACCCAAATCTGATCAGAAAATGGCAGTCAGAATGACGCTATTCCCATCGTTTCACCCCAAAAAATATCCGAATTGTGCCTCTTCCATATTTGGTACTAAATTTCAAACGCATTTGATAGTTTCTATAGCCTCTGCAGCCTGAACTGTTTTGTCACATTTCACAGAAGGCAAATAAACAGATCTATGCAAAAAATATGCGTCACTGCTAACTTTCTGGGAGAAACGCATGTTAAAGGAAAAAAGAAAATGTAAGGGGTTGCAACAATTTCCTTCACAACTGTAATTATATTTACATGGAAATGTAAACAGTTCAAGGAGGTGAATGCTTTTATAAGCCACTGTATGTCTTTAAGTACAGCCAAGGTTATCAGTCTTATTTTTCCATCATCTTGTTTGCTAACATCATCAACAAAACAAATATCTGTTTCACACTTAGGGGAATAGTTACTGTAATACAGTAGCCAACAAATTACATGTTCTCTGACTTAATTTAATCAATCCTGAGTACTGCCTCTTTTCTTTTACGCCCACATGGTCCTCTATGCAGATATCCAGTACATAAACTATAATGTATTTAATTAGGGTTTAGCAGGAGCTAAATAAAGAGTAATGCTTCCAGCACGGTAATGAATAAAGGAAGACACCCATTAACATTAGGAGAGGATCAGGACTCTTTTTATTAAAAGTGCAAAAACGAGCCCCTATCTAAATGGAAGGTAAACTAAGTCTTTTGTTTTTGTATGGAGAAGAATACTAATTTGTAAATGATAAGATCATGCAATGTAAACAAACTTGGCCCCTTTCTGTCCATTAGTGATATCTCAATCGCTTCCAGCCAACACCTTGTCCTTAATCTCTGTAGTTTCATTTTAGCATGGCTGAATGGGGCACAAACCTAGAGGACAGCACATGTTTTAATATGTCTGCTGTACACAGTCATAACACTTTTTGGTTGCCTCAGGTTCAGATTTTGATGATTGTCTTAAAGAACACTCGACTTGGCACAGAACAGCATCATATACATAATCTGTAGTATCAGTAGAGTTGTATTAACAAATTCAATTTGCATACAAGTTACTTAAAATAAAGATTATTCATTCCAAGTTATATTATTTTTTACTTTATCTATTTATGTATCTTTCTGTTGGTTTTATCCAAAGGATGTTCTGTTAAAAGACTGCTGATAAGATACTCATTCAAGCATCAGTGAATAGGGTATATTTTTTGTTTGTGAGAATAATCAACTCAGACTTAACTTTTTATATCTGAACTTTATTCTAAGCTTTATTACCCACTTGACATTTTAGCTTATCATATCTCATTAACAACTCTGATTGCATCCTAGCTCTACAGATTGTAATTTGAGAAAGCATTGAAGCACTATTTGAGTCATTAACTTTTCCCTGCACTAATAATCTTCTACAACAACAACAACAACCTATGACATGTACAGAAAGCCAATTCTTCAATCAGGTGAAAGGCAGTCTTGTTTGTACAGGTGATTCGCTCTATTTGATGTTTGGCTGTTTAAAAAGGAACAAAAATTAGGGACTATAATAAAGGCCACTGACAAGTGAGGGAAAGACATGGATTTTATTCTTTAAATGCAATGTTGACACATCTCTAGGATCTGGTACTGCAAAGATTTGCCATTATATGCCAATTTATACTTACTATCTGTATCATTAGTTTTTTTACCCATTATAATGAAAAAACTGGTTTAGCACCGACGCTTACAAAAAAAAAAAACATACACACACACACAAAAAAAAGGTGTTATGGACAAAAGCGGTATGGTTTTGCCTAAAGGAAGACAGCATTTCCCACGAGGACCGGTGCAAAGAGTGGTAAAATCCTGGTTGCCTGCAGTTGGATTAAACTATGTTTCTGTTTCTGGTAGCTGTGTAAAAGATGAATAGCGATTAAGCAATTAATTTAACTTTATTAAGCTCACACTGTAGAAATTCACCTCTGCATGTAACCCACCCCCTTGGGGAGCAGTGGGCTGCCAATGTGCGGCACCCAGGGAGCAGTGTGGGGTTTAAGGGTCTTTGCTCAGTTACCCCGAGTGGCAGTTTGTGGGACTGGGGCTTGAACTAAGAACCTCTGAATTCCAAGCGCAATGCCCTAACCACTAGACCGCCCCACACTGGACATCGTCACATGTTTCACCAAAATTAATCTTATTTCAGTGAAACATATGATGATGGTGAAAATAAGAACTGTTTAACTTTGGGTTTGTATTGTATTCCTGCACCACCGACCCCGCGCCCTCGACTTCCCCGCCTCACACGACTTATCGGCGACTGATGATGATAAATTAGAGCCCTGAAACAAATAAATATGTTTGCTAGTTTCACTGTAAACACACGTTTAGATCACAGCCTGAAGGTGCCGCATTGCCTGAACATCAACTCAATTTGCACTGATATACAGTCTTTCAGGGAAACTTAGTCGCATCAACCTCCGTCTTTATAATGAATGAGGAATGAGGGAATTGAAAACTGATTTACTATTTTAGTTACTTTTTTGGAGAAGTAACTATAACTAGTTACCTTTTTAGTGTAAATTTTCATAAACAACTTAGAAAAAAGTTTTATCTACACAAATAAACACAGCACCAATCAAGTTGTAGTAGTACACATGCTGGGACCCTTAGGTGGCGCTGTGACACCCCACATACACCGCGCTGACAAAGACACTGAGCATGCCCAGATAGCTCACGAGAAATAAAAAAAGCCAACTGGTGATGCATGCAGGTTACTAAGGTATTGTAGGCTTACAATGTTGTTTAACAAAAAAATTAAAAATATATGTGGCTTGCATGCAACACGAAACCATTTTTTTTCTTCTAATTTTTCCCACTGGGACCCGATTTTTTAAACTTTTATATAACTATTTTATGCCCCTCCAAAAGGCTGGTTTCATAATATTTCTGGGTGGATTGGCCGTACAGTTAATCTACAGTGAAAAGGAGCAGTTTACTGCAGAAGAACTGGCCATCAGTAAACAGTGCAATGGGATAAAAATAAAGTGCCATGAAATTGTGTCCACCCAAGGGAGCAAAATGTGATTTATATTACAAAAATAAAGGCCTAAAGGCATCAAGTGCATCTGGGACTAGATGTATTCAGAAATCATTCATTTAGGTTTCTAGACCGACTTCATCTTTATGTGCCTTTATTTTGTAGCTGCAATATACTCTGTTTCTCTTTTCATGTAGAGGCAGCTTCTTGAACTTTTAACTTAAACATGCTATACTGATAAACTTGTGTTGCCTTGCCTCGTACAAAAACACTAAAATAAAATGGATCTAGCATGTGAAACAATATTTTTTAGGTGAAAAAAGTCTATATTGTTTACATGGAATGTAAAAAAATATTTTGGGAAATAAAAATTTTAAAAAAGAAGGAAAAAAAAAAAAGCTCCAAAACAGGTTTTATCAATAAGGGTCCAAAACTGTTGCAGAAGTGACGGAAATAGAAGCACGTTTTCTGAGTAAGGAGGGACTTTCATTAATAATCCAAACCTCTCTAATACACAAACAACAAGGGTCTAAGAAATCTGTTCTCAATGTTTCTTTGACATGACCCCATTAGATCCCACACGGGTTCCTTGTTGATGCCAATAATTCTAATCTGTTGTGTCAGCATTAATGGGAGATCTAGAATGTACTGGTGGCTCTAAATCTAGTCTAGGCAGTAATGCTTGAGCCTGGATGGGAAACAAATCCATAATAACCTTTCAGCAGGCTGTAATTTAAGTGGTCAGAGAGAAAACTTGACTTTGGCACCTCCTTTTGGCTCTTGTTCAGGCTTTAGGAAATTTAGAACTGTGCTTGAATGGTCACTGGTCATTTATGCCCAGAAGGTGCTACCAAATTACCTGCATGAGTTAGTGCCCACTGTTACGAGGGAGCACTCAGTCACGCAGATGTCATGCAGACCTTGCCTCAGAAAGCAGAAGTTGTAATCTGTGCAATGTAAATGTAGACAGCTTTGGTTTGAACAGCCAAAAAAAATAATAGGATTATTACGATAAACCTAAGATTGTAAAGCAGCTGTGAAACATTTGTTGCATCCCAACATTACAGCAATACATGAAAGGATACACCCTTTATTTTATTTAAAAGAGGATGTTTGACTTTATTTTACAAACTTTCTATTAATCCCTGAACCAGACACACAAACAGATCCTTTATTACTTTAGTATAGATAACTTGGTAAACAGATCCAATTTTGCACCTTAGTGTCTACTTTACTACAGACCACATGTGCATTAGTCAGATGAATAAATTACCATAATAAAGCTGGTGTAATGTAGATTTACACGTTTATGTTTTCATGGCTGACGCACAGTAATTAGCACTGGCATGGGTACAAGTACATGCTACAGCTTGTATGAGTGAATGTTTCTTCCTTGTATAATTTGCTTTTATTTCTTATAAATAATAATCAATATTAAAACCCAGTGTTCTGAATTAGTTGTATTTTACCCAGTGCTCTGTATTTGCTCCAGCAGACTAGATCTATGAGTGCTACATCTTAGTTGGTGTGAGAGTGCTGCTCATGTGCTATGAAAAAGAAGTAGTGAGAAACCTACCCTCAGGTGCATCTGCATCACATATCTTTGTAGTGCTCAAAGTAGTATTGCCAGGACCTGGATCAGTTGAGGATGTCTGACTCTATAAGAAATAAAAGAAATGTTAGTGATTTCAAAAACATAGCAACTAGTGATGCACCGATCCAATCAGATACAGAAATCTGGGCTGAGAGTATAAAGAGATACTGATCAAATACTGTTGAAGGAACCTTATACATTGCCATGGGAAAGAGGGCATCAGGCCTGACTTAAACACTGTAAAAATAAACTACAGATATACATTCTCACTAATTTCTCTGTGTGACATAACTAGATTGCTTTGACTATATTGTTCTGAAGGACAATTAAAAAATAAAATGACTGAATAAGAATGCTTAGTCTGTGTTATTCTATGATATTTGATTCAGCTAACTAGTCATATAGCTGATATCCCATGCTGGTCAGTGCATCTCTAGTAGCATCTTTTTGAAGCAGATTAAAACAAACGTCTTCCATACAAAAACAGAGAAAACCTGATTTAATCTATTAAAAAGGAGTATTCCTCTCCACTGTCGCTGCAAGCATGCTTGGTGTGGGGGATTGCTTTTGAGTCAATGAGTTAATGTAATCAACTAGTTTTTCTTGGATAGTAACTGAAATGAATACCGTAACTCTCCTCAACGTGCCATGTTCTGCCACTGTGGCCTGTTAATCTACTTATAAAAGTCAGGTGTGTGGCAGCAGAGAAACATCTAATATTTGTACAACAGATGAGCCTGGAGACCAGGTTTGAGAAATACTGTCCAATAGGATAAAACAAATCTAAAGTAATTCATAATAACAAATCTTTCACTTTATTCCCATGATTGTTAATTTGTGGCATACAGCAGAGATGATATTTGGTATGCCTTTTGAGGTTCTGAAAGAAATAAACTACTGTATATCTAACTATATCTAATTTAAAGTGAATATAATCTAATACTACACCAAAATGAAAATGTTCTAGTTCCAACATAACAAAGCAGGGGATTTGGTGGGTTTAAATCCCAGATGCATCAGGAAGTGGCTGCGGTGTAAAGGCTCTGCCACGTCTGTGAGCAAGTTGTAAAGACTTGCTGTGGCGAGCTCTAAATACAGACCTATCATTACATACTAGTACAATGACAGTAACTGCAACACAAGCTTAAGACGGTCATCTTCATTTTGTTCGTCAAAATGCTGTAGAAATATGATCACAAAAAAAAAAAACACTTGTACTATGTAAAGTGTAAGAGTGCTTTTTAATATGTAGTGTTAGAAGTGCAAATAACTTTTCAGTGCAGCTTTTAACAACATATACTGGGTCATCTGAACAGATGTGGTTTAAATATTAAGCTTTCCAATTTCAAACCTAGAAATGTAAAGCCCAGTTTGCTTTGGTGTGCCAATCAGTATTTTCTTTTTGACATGAAATTTATTCCTGTTGTAAATCTGTTTACTAAAGATTACCTGCTGCTCCAGTCAGCTGCATACATTTGTCCAAATAGAGTAATTGTAATTCAGGATTACATAAAAAGAAATCATTTATGTAATATCATTTGGCCTTGGGCATTGAGAGTGCTGGCAAAGCAAAAATTAAATGAAAATTAATTTATTGGAATAGGCATGAACATGTAAAAATCTTAAATACATATGAATTGTTAAACAGTTTTTAGTACATTCTTGTATTTCAGTAAGGGAGACGATGGGTTGGCAAAACAAGGCTAAGATTTACCTAAATTATGCTGCTTTAAGCATGTTTTTAACAAAACGCACATGTAGCTGCATGAAAACCAATTGCAGACACCCACACAAGAAGAGAAGAGTTGGAGCACTCAAATGATATTCTGTCAAACAACAAAATCCAAACAGCAAATACCGCAATTTCTGAGAGGAAATAAAAAGAACAAGAGTCTAAAAGGCTTGTTGCTGGCCCACAGAGACCAAACCGCTGCCTACACGGAGCTGGACCACAGTGGTTTAAACCCACGGATACAGACATTGTTAGAAACTTGCCCTGAAAGGTAGATCTCATCAGGGAGACCAAAAAACAGAAAACGACGTGGGAAATTACTTGAACAGCTTTTTCTCACCTGTACAAGATATTTCTGGCTGCCGTACATGACATATTGTGGGGCCAGACTGTAGATCATGTAGCTGGTGTGAAGAACAATCAACAGCAGAATCATGCAGAGGAAGAGGAGGGCCTGGGGACGTGTTCTCTTTGGTCTTATTTTGTAGAGCTAGGTATAAAAAAAACAAACAAAAACAGAAATGTTCAGCTCACTGTTTATTCCTGAGGATACCAGAACTTTTAACTTAATACAGATGCCTTGAAAAATAAGTTACTATAACGGATAGGGAAAGGAAAAAAAAAAATAGAAAATAAACATTCTTTTTAGCAACAGAAGACTTAAAAAAAAACATTTTACTCTATTAGCAGCAGCGCTCAAAGTCAAAACTGACCACTGATTAAAATGAACTCTTTCCTTTCAAACTAGTTTTTTATAATATATTTTTTGTAATGCAGTTATCATTTAAAAAAAATGATAAATTTATCATTTATATACAAAATTACAAATATAAAATACACAGGTAAAATTAAATATATCAGACAGATATTTTTAACCATAAATTCTGCAATATAGCCCAATCAATTATTTCTGTCATTAAAATGCCTCAGGAGGAGGTGCTGCTGTCCCATCATTCCAACTGTCTTGGGACAGTTTGTATCACACTGTCCTTGCAGTTTCTTATTTGCCAAGTCAGCAAACTCATTTTCAATAAAGCTGAAACCCAATCATTTACATACAATGAATAAAGAGAGCATTCATTTCATCACAGGCAAAATAACTTCATTTTATTACTTTCTTCTTATGATATTAATATATATATATATATATATATATTTTTTTTTTTTTTTTGTTTTTTTTTGTAAGCGTCTGTGCTAAACCAGTTTTTTCATTATAATGGGTAAAAAAACTAATGATACAGATAGTAAGTATGAATTGGCATATAATGGCAAATCTTTGCAGTACCAGATCCTAGAGATGTGTCAACATTGCATTTAAAGAATCAAATCCATGTCTTTCCCTCACTTGTCAGTGGCCTTTATTATAGTCCCTGATTTTTGTTCCTTTTTAAACAGCCAAACATCAAATNTAGTCCTACTGAATACACTGTTAGAATTTCTATCATGGGAAGAAAAAAGCAGCTAAGTATAGAAAAACGAGTGGCCATCATTACTTTAAGAAATGAAGGTCAGCGAGTCCGAAAAATTGGCAAAACTTTGACAGTGTCCCCAAGTGCAGTCGCAAATCCATCAAGCGCTACAAAGAAACTGGCTCATATAAGGACTGCCCCAGGAAAGGAAGACCAAGAGTCACCTCTGCTGCGGAAGATAAGTTAATCTGTAATCGCAGGTTAACAGCAGCTCAGATCAGAGACCAGGTCACTGCCACACAGAGTTCTAGCGGCAGACACATAACTAGAACAACTGTTAAGAGGAGAATCAGGCCTTCATGGTAAAATAGCTGCTAGGAAACCACTGCTAAGGACAGGCAACAAGCAGAAGAGACTCGCTTGGGCTAAAGAACTCAACGAATGGACATTAGAACAGTGGAAATCTGTGCTTTGGTCTGATGAGTCCAAATTTGAGATCTTTGGTTCCAACCATCGTGTCTTTGTGCGATGCATAAAAGGTGAACGGATGAAATCTACATGCCTGGTTCCCACCATGAAGCATGGAGGAGGAGGTGTGATGATGTGGCGATGCTTTGCTGGTGACACTGTTGTGGATTTATTCAAAATTGAAGGCATGCTGAACCAGCCTGGCTACTACATCATCTTGCAGCGGCATGCTATTCCATCCGGTTTGTGTTTAGTTGGACCATCATTTTTTTTTCAACAGGACAACGACCCCAAACACACCTCCAGACTGTGAAAGGGCTATTTGACCAAGAAGCAGAGTGATAGGATGCGGCGATAGATGCCAGATGACCTGGCCTCCACAATCACCAGAACTGAACCCAATCGAGATGGTTTGGTGTAAGCTGGACAACAGAGTGAAAGAAAAAAGGGCCAACAAGTGCAAAGAAACTCCTTCAAGACTGTTGGAAGATCATTTCAGGTGACTATCTCCTGAAGCTCATCAAGAGAATGCCAAGAGTGTGTGAAGCAGTAATCAAAGCAAAAGGTGGCAAATTTTATGTACCTATAACACATATTTTCAGTTGTTTCAGTTTTTGTTAAGTATATAATTCCACATGTGTTAATTCATAGTTTTGATGCCTTCGGTGTGAATCTTCAAATTTCATAGCCGTGAAAATAAAGAAAACTCTTTGAACTAGAAAAAGCTGTTTCGCAGAAACAGCAAAGTGGGAATGCTTTTTTGCATTCCCACTTATTGTTGTTCACTTAAAATTTTTCTGACTCTAACTAGTCCCGCAGT